AGACATCCGGTGAGCAGTTGACGTTCAGGAGACATCTCCATAGACCATTCACCATCACAGTTCCTCCCCAATCTTCGAGAGAAACAACAACTAGTAGATTCTTTAAGTTGTCAACAAGATCATTGAGTTGCTGACAGGAGAGGTGAGAGGTGCTGGGAATTCTGGGACATTCTCCAGTAACAGACAAGGGATGTGTCTGGATGGTGACTGTATCTTTGTGTGTGTCAGGTTCCTTTAAGGTGTCAGGATGTCACTGTCTATTTCTCCATGGAGGAGTGGGAGTATTTAGAAGGACACAAGGACCTCTACAAGGACGTCATGATGGACAATCAGCTGCCCTTCAAATCACCGGGTAAGAGGAGCTTTTATTGGAAAGGAGAGAGCAGTACGGAGGGTCAACCTAGATCCCCCATCACCATATGAAAGGTCCATCTCCATTCCACAATATAACGTCATGTTCCCAACAAATGAGGAGGAGATACTGGACACCATATGAAAGGTCCATCTTCATTCCTCAATATAATGTCATGTTCCCAACAAATGAGGAGGAGATACTGGACACCATACGAAAGGTCCATCTCCATTCCTCAATAAAACATCATGTTCCCAACAAATGAGGAGATACATCATATGAAAAGGTCCATCTCCATTTCAATAGATTGTCATGTTCAAAACAAATGAGGAGGAGATACTGGACACCATATGAAAGGTCCATCTCCATTCCTCAATATAACATCATGTTCCCAACAAATGAGGAGGAGATACTGAACACCATACAAAAGGTCCATCTCCATTCCTCAATAGAACATCATGTTCCCAACAAATGAGGAGATACTGGACACCATATGAAAGGTCCATCTCCATTCCTCAATATAACGTCATTTTCCCAACAAATGAGGAGGAGATACTGGACACCATATGGTAGGTCCATCTCCATTCCTCAGTATAACGTCACGTTCCCAACAAATGAGGAGGAGATACTGGACACCATACAAAAGGTCCATCTCCATTCCTCAATAGAACATCATGTTCCCAACAAATGAGGAGATACTGGACACCATATGAAAGGTCCATCTCCATTCCTCAATATAACGTCATGTTCCCAACAAATGAGGAGGAGATACTGGACACCATATGAAAGGTCCATCTCCATTCCTCACTATAACGTCATGTTCCCAACAAATGAGATCTGATAAACACATAGAAACAATGTATTCAGTCAGTGTGTGTGTTTTCTACAGATGGTTCCAGTAACAGAATCCCACCAGCGAGATGTCCCCGTCCTCTGTTTTCCCGGTATTCCACACAGGAAGACCACAACTATGCACACCATTATCAGGTTGGTGGGACAGAGTATCTAGAACAAGAAAGTGGACTTAACAATGCAAGACCCTGCAAGCTGATGTGGCCTTGCAATATTAAATCTTATATTTTCCAACCATTTTTTTTTGGCTTAGGGTAAAGATCTGATAGATTTAAAAGTTGAAGTAAAAGTAGAAGACGGAGAGACGTATTTGAGAGATCAGTCCATCAAAGTGGGTGAAATGATGGCACCATTTAAGGAAAAGGAATCTTTTCAAGTCTTCATTAAGAATCATCTGGCCCTCACATCACCGGGTAAGAGGAGAGTTTATTGGAAAGGAGAGAGCAGTACGGAGGCTCCACCTAGATCCTCCATCATCTGATAAACACATAGAAACAATGGATTCAGTCAGTTTGTATGTTTCCTACAGATGGATCCAGTCATGGGAACCCACCAGAGAGATGTCCCCGTCCTCTGTATTCCCGGGATTCCACACAGGAAGGTCACACCATCCCTCACCATCATCAGGTAGATGGGTCCAGTCATGGGAACCCACTAGAGAGGTGTCCCCGTCCTCTGTATTTCCGAGATTCCACACAGGAAGACCACAACTATGCACAACATTATCAGGTAGATGGAGCAGAACATCTGAAACATTTATGGTCCTTTCTGCTGTGTCACCTTCTCAGATGAAGTTCAGATCTTGCCTACGTTCTTTCTGAAATTTTAATACATTCTTTTTAATATTTTTTTTATTGAAGTGTGAAGACCTGTTGAATGTGACTAAAGCAAAAGAAGGAAAGAAGACTCGTGTGAGGGGGGATCAGAAGTCAAGGGAAAAAGCTGCGATAGTTGAGGAGGAATCTTCTCTCCATATCACCAAAGGTCACTGTAAATGTCATACACAGCAATGATTTAGATTTTCTTTCTTTCTTGGTTGCTGACTTGAAGGAAACCTTTTTTTTAAGAGAAGTACGTAGGTTGTCTTTGTTTCATTCTTCTGAAAATCTTAACTATCTGGCCGAAGAGAGATCAGTTTACAGGAAGGAGCAGAACAGAGGTCCACCTAGATCCACCATCATCCATAACTCCATAAATCTTCCTTACAGATGGATCCAGTAACAGAAACCCACCAGAGAGATGTCCTCCGTATTCCCGGGATTCCACGCCGAAAGCTCATGGCATCCTAAACCCTGAACAGGTAAGCTTGAACTGACTATATATAAAAGGAAACCCCAACCTTAAATTATAAATTTCTTCTATATCAAAGTTAACATTTTAAAGATTTAACTTTCTTCTCTTTTGTTGGTTTAGATTGAAAAACTGATTAGAATGAAAATTAAGCTTAAAAGGGAAGAAGAAAAGAAGGAATCCTCTCCATATATTGTACCAGGTAAATGGTCCTCACTAGCTTCAAAGATGGTTTAACCGTTTACTTCTATAAATGTGAGATGTTCTCATTTGATCAAACGTTGTGGGGAATCAGCAGACCTTCACAGCATTAAGTTGACAAAACTGTTCTTTTTGAAAGGGGAGATGCCAGTCTATGTTTGAGGAAGGCCAATGTCTCCTTTCCATTTACATCTCATGTTAGTCTGCTGCTCATCCTAGTGGTAATTCTCTGGCATTCTCACACTTTTAGGTGCACGTTCATGTCTTTTGCTGCAGAGGTCCACCTTCATTCCTCAATATAACGTCATGTTCCCAACAAATGAAGTGGAGATACTGTACACCATGTGAAAGGTCTGTCTCCATTCAATATACCATAATGTTCCCAACAATTTAGAACCGGATATTGTACAATGTATGAAAAGGTCCATCACCATTCCTCAATATAAAATCATGTTCCCAACAAATGAGGAGGAGATACTGTACACCATATGAAAGGTCCATCTCCCTTCCTCAATATAACATCATGTTCCCAACAAATGAGGAGGAGATACTGGACACCATATGAAAGGTCCATCTCCATTCCTCAATATAACGTCATGTTCCCAACAAATGAGGAGGAGATACTGGACACCATATGAAAGGTCCATCTCCATTTCTCAATATAACATCATGTCCCCAACAAATGAGGAGATACTGGATGCCATATGAAAGGTCCATCTCCATTTGTCAATATAAAATCATGTTCCCAACAAATGAGGAGGAGATACTGTACACCATATGAAAGGTCCATCTCCATTCCTCAATATAACATCATGTCTCCAACAAATGAGGAGATACTGGGCACCATATGAAAGGTCCATCTCCATTCCTCAATATAACGTCATGTTCCCAACAAATGAGGAGGATATACTGGACACCATATGAAAGGTCCATCTCCATTCCTCAATATAATGTCATGTCCCCAACAAATGAGGAGGAGATACTGGACAGCATATGAAAGGTCCATCTCCATTCCTCAATGTAACGTCATGTTCCCAACAAATGAGGAGGAGATACTGGACACCATATGAAAGGTCCATCTCCATTCTGCAATATAACATCATGTTCCCAACAAATGAGGAGGAGATACTGGACACCATATGAAAGGTCCATCTCCATTCCTCAATGTAACGTCATGTTCCCAACAAATGAGGAGGAGATACTGGACACCATATGAAAGGTCCATCTCCATTCCTCAATATAACGTCATGTCCCAACAAATGAGGAGGAGATACTGGACACCATATGAAAGGTCCATTTCCATTCGTCAATATAAAATCATGTTCCCAACAAATGAGAAGGATACTGGACACCATATGAAAGGTCCATTTCCATTCCTCAATATAACATCATGTTCCCAACAAATGAGGAGGAGATACTGGACACCATATGAAAGGTCCATCTCCATTCCTCAATATACCGTCATGTTCCCAACAAATGAGGAGGAGATACTGGACACCATATGAAAGGTCCATCTCCATTCCTCAATGTAATGTCATGTTCCCAACAAATGAGGAGGAGATACTGGACACCATATGAAGGTCCATCTCCATTCTGCAATATAACATCCTGTTCACAACAAATGAGGAGGAGATACTTGACACCATATGAAAGGTCCATCTCCATTCCTCAATATAACGTCATGCCCCCAACAAATGAGGAGGAGATACTGGACACCATATGAAAGGTCCATCTCCATTCCTCAATATAACGTCATGTTCCCAACAAATGAGGAGGAGATACTGGACACCATATGAAAGGTCCATCTCCATTCCTCAATATGACGTCATGGTATGGGATGGAGGAAGGCCTACCCTTCTAATGATAGAAGAGTCACCATTAGTGATGATTGGGGGTTGGTCTTCATAGTTTGGGGTTGTACTTTCCATCACTTCCATGCCAGAACTGGTAAAGTTTGAAGTTCTCGCCCAACATATGTGACCAATGAACTCAATACTTAACGATTTATTTCTCTCTGGCAGATGAAGGAAGCGCTTGGAATCGGAATGCTTCGGAGGTACATTTAATTCTATCTCCAGATTTTAATGCAGAAGATGACGGCATCGCCCAACGTCCTCCCGAAGAAAACCCCATAAATGATAATATACACCAGAGACCTCCCCATTGGGAGAGATCGGTGGATCTGTCTTATTCTGAGGAATCCTCTGACCAACCACCATCTAGGACTTCATGTAGTCACCTGACACCGGACAGTGCGGACACACCGAGAGATCCACCTAATCCCAATGAATCTTCTTTCCACCACAAAGGAGCTCATACAGGAGAGCATTCATGGCCATGTCCAGAGTGCGGGAAACGTTTCACTCATAAAGGAAACCTTCTCAGACACCAGAGAATTCACACGGGCGAGCGTCCATTTTCATGTTCAGAGTGCGGGAAATCTTTCATACAGAAAATAAGCCTTCTTTTACACCAGAGAAGTCACACGGGTGAACGTCCTTTTTCATGTTTAGAGTGTGGGAAATGTTTTCATGCGAAAAGCCTACTTCGTAGACACCAGAAAATTCACACGGGTGAGCGACCTTTCTCGTGTTCACAGTGCGGGAAAAGTTTTTCCCAGAAAGGAGGTCTTCTTTCACACCAGAGAAGTCACACAGGCGAACGTCCTTTTTCGTGTTCGGAGTGCGGGAAGTGTTTTAATCAGAGAAGCTTACTTCTCAGACACTTAAGAATTCACACGGGTGAGCGACCTTTTTCGTGTTCGGAGAGTGCGGGAAAAGTTTCATTCTAAAAAGAGACCTTGTTCGACATCAGAGACATCACACAGGTGACCTCCAATTTTCAAGTTCAGTGTCGGGAAAAGGCTTTATTAGGAAAAGCGTAGTTATTAGAAACAAACGCATCCACAATCGCAAGGGTCCTTTTTCATGTCCAGAGTGTGGGAAATGTTTTACTCAGAAAGGAAAGCTTTCTGAACACCTGACAAGTCATGCAAGAGCACTTATTACACACCAGAGAGTTCACAGGGGAGATCGTCCTTTTTCATGTTCAGAGTGCGGGAAATGTTTCACTGTAAAAGCAAGACTTCTTACGCACCGGAGAATTCACACTGGTGAGCGCCCTTTTTCATGTTCAGAGTGTGAGAAGAGGTTCACTGTGAAGGCAAGACTTCTTATACATCAGAGAATTCACATGGGCGAGCGTCCTTTTTCGTGCTCAGAGTGCGGGAAAAGCTTTTCAGAGAAAAGTGTACTTCTTGTACACCAGAGGGTTCACACAGGCGAGCAGCCCTATTTATGTTCAGAGTGTGGGAAATGTTTCAGTAGCAGAGGACATCTTCTTAGACATCAGAGAACTCACACGGGCGAGCGTCCTTATTCCTGTTCTGAGTGCGGAAAATGTTTCGCTCAAAAAGGAAGCCTTCTTGTGCACCAGAGAGTCCATACGGGTGAGCGTCCTTTTTTGTGCGCGGAGTGCGGGAGATGTTTTTCCGAGAAAAGCGTACTTCTTGTACACCAAAGAGTTCACACAGGCGAGCACCCTTTTGCGTGTTCAGAGTGTGGAAAAGGTTTCGCTCAGAAAGCGAACCTTCATAAGCACTGGAGGAGTCATGCTCGTAAGGGTCCCGGAGTGCGGGAAATGTTTTAAACAGGAAGGAAAAGTAGAGAAGCTGTTGCAAAGGTACTGTGGCGTCTAACGGGTGCAACCGTTTGATCCATGACTGTATGATACATATATGTTTTTTGGTACATCCCGGCACCGACTGACTGCTGAAGTGTCTGTAATCCAGTGAACTTCTCTTGTGTGGCCCCTATTTGGTTTGTTAAAAAAAAAAAGCCAATGAAATCATTTTGTTATATTTGTTCATTAAAGTGTAAATAAATACCTGTTAATCCTGCCAGAAACCTCGTCCACTTCCTGTACCCACTGCCTGGGCTCCACCCCCAGCGGTTCCATTGTTCCCAGCTATCTCTATGTACTGCAAATCCCTATATTTTAGAGAGGTGGGAAAGGGGGTAAGTGTTGGGGTGGTGGGGGGGGTGTAGTCTTGGATGTCATGGATGGGGTGGGGGGTTGTAGTCTCGGATGTCATGGATGGGGTGGGGGGTTGTAGTCTTGGATGTCATGGATGGGGTGGGGGTTGTAGTTTTGGATGTCATGGATGGGGTGGGGGGTTGTAGTCTTGGATGGGGTGGGGGGTTGTAGTCTTGGATGCCATGGATGGGGTGGGGGTGGTGGGGGGGTTGTAGTCTTGGATGTCATGGATGGGTGGGGGTGGGGGGGTTGTAATCTTGGATGTCAAGGATGGGGTGGGGGTGGGGGGGTTGTAGTCTTGGATGTCAAGGATGGGGGGTGGGAGGTTGTAGTCTTGGATGTCATGGATGGGGTGGGGGTGGGGGGGGTTTGTAGTCTTGGATGTCATGGATGGGGGGTGGGAGTGGTGGGATGTTGTAGTCTTGGATGTCATGGATGGGGTGGGGGGGTTATAGTCTTGGATGCCATGGATGGGATCCATCCTGCCTGGTATCTACAGTTCAGGCTGGTGATGGTGGTGTCAGGCTGGTGGTGGTGGTGTCATGGTGTGGTGGATCCATCCTGCCTTGTATCAGCGGTTCAGGCTGGTGGTGGTGGTGTCATGGTGTGGGGGATCCATCCTGCCTTGTATCTACGGTTCAGGCTGTTGATGGTGGTGTCATGGTGTGGTGGATCTATCCTGCCTTGTATCTACGGTTCAGGCTGGTGATGGTGGTGTCATGGTGTGGTGGATCCATCCTGCCTTGTATCAATAGTTCAGGCTGGTGGTGTCATGGTGTGGTGGATCCATCCTGCCTTGCATCCATGGTTCAGGCTGGTGGTGTCATGGTGTGGTGAATCTATCCTGCCTTGTATCTCTGGTTCAGGCTGGTAGTGGTAGTGTAATGGTGTGGGGGAGATTTTCTTGGCACACTTTGGGCCCCTTAGTACCAACTGAGCATTGTTTAAACGCCACGGCCTACCCGAGTATTATTGCTGACCATGTCCATCCCTCTATGACTCCAGTGTCCCCATCTTCTGATGGCTCCTTCCAGCAGGATAATGCACCATGTCACAAAGCTCCAATCATCTCCAACTGGTTCCCTGAACATGACAATGAGGTCCCTGCACTCCAATGACCTCCACAGTCACCAGATCTCCATCCAGTAGAGCACCTTTGGGATGTCGTGGAACGGGAGATTCCCATCATGGATGTGCAGCTAACAATGCTATCATGTCAATATGGACCGAAATCTCTGAGGAACGTTTCCAACACCTTGTTGGATCTATGCCACGAAGAGTGAAGGCAATTCTGAAGGCAAAAGGGGGTCCAACCTGGGACTAGCAAGGTAGACCTAATAAAGTGGCCGGTGAGTGTAGATACGGTTTCAGTTGGGGTCATCTGTTGGTCTGTGAGATCTTGCTGTAGTTCTTGGCCCTCTTACCCTCCACTGTTCCTGTTCCTCTTTTTACATTCTCCAGCAGGGATAGCGAGAGACCCTCACAATGAGAGCGTTAGGTGTGCAGGCCCGGGACCCAAAGACTTGGAAGTACTTCCATGAATCTTTGTGACTCTGTGAGCCCCAGATTATCCAGGGGAGGAGGGACAGAGAGGTCCAAGGGGTTTGCTATGCTCACAAACTACTGAAAGTTCTAGGCCTGTATGGAATATATTGTAGGAATATGGTCCTCAAAACCAAACCCCCCCCCAAAAATGTGGTAACATATGGCAATATGTGGACAACATACAGACAACCGTGACAGCAGGAAGGTCAGCAAACGTGGGTAAGACACTGACAATTGTTACAACAAACAGGCAATCAAGAAAATACATGGGGCAACAAGCAGGCAATCGAGAAAATACATGGGGCAACAAGCGGGCAGTCATGACAATACATGGGGCAACAAGCAGGCAATCGAGAAAATACATGGAGCAACAAGTGGGCAGTCATGACAATACATGGGGCAACAAGAGGGCAATCATGACAATACATGGGGCAACAAGAAGGGAAATCATGACAATACATGGGGCAACAAGAGGGGAATCATGACAATACATGGGGCAACAAGAGGGCAATCATGACAATACATGGGGCAACAAGAGGGAAATCATGACAATACATGAGTCAACAAGAGGGAAATCATGACAATATATGGGACAAGAGGTCAATCATGACAATACAAGGGGCAACAAGAGGACAATCATGACAGTATATGGGACAACAAGTGAACAATCATGACAATACATGGTGCAACAAATGGGCAATCATGACATTACATGGGGCAACAAGTGGGCAATCATGATAATACATGGGTCAACAAGAGGCATATCATGACAATACATGGGATGGGACAACAAGAGGGCAATCATAACAATACCTGGGGCAATAAGAGGGAAATCATGACAATACATGGGACAAGAGGGCAATCATGACAATACATGGGGCAACAAGAGGTCAATCATGACATACATGGGGCAACAAGAGGGCAATCATGACAGTATATGGGACAACAAGTGAACAATCATGACAATACATGGTGCAACAAAATGGGCAATCATGACATTACATGGGGCAACAAGTGGGCAATCATGACAATACATGGTGCAACAAGAGGGCAATCATGACAGTACATGGTGCAACAAGAGGGCAATCATGATAATACATAGGTCAACAAGAGGCATATCATAACAATACATGGGATGGGACAACAAGAGGGCAATCATAACAATACCTGGGGCAACAAGAGGGCAATCATAACAATACATGGGGCAACAAGAGGGAAATCATGAAAACACATGGGACAAGTGGGCAATCATGACAATATATGGGTCAACAAGAGGGCAATCATGAAAATACATGGGGCAACAAGTGGGCAATCATGACAATACATGGGACAACAAGTGGGCAATCATGACAATACATGGGGCAACAAGAAGGAAATCATGATGGGTCAACGAGAGGGCAATCATGACAATACATGGGGCAACAAGTGGTCAATAATGACAATACATAGGGCAACAAGTGGTCAATAATGACAATACATGGGGCAACAAGTGGGCAATCATGACAATCCATGGGTCAACGAGAGGGCAATCATGACAATCCATGGGGGCAACAAGTGGGCAATCATGACAATACATGGGGCAACAAGTGGGAAATCATGACAATACATGGGGCAACAAGTGGGCAATCATGACAATACATGGGGCAAAAAGAGGGCAATTACATGTAGAAGATGCAGTCCATGTTGGTAAGTGAAGTGGTCAGAAGGAATATTTCTTCCCTATCCTTAATGTGTGTCTTCCAAGAAGGAAAGAAGGAATTTACAATGAAGAAGGAGGAAATTGCATCATACAAAGGGGAGGAGTCACATAAAAAGGAATGTAGTAGGAACAGTGACCACAGGGTGGCACCATAACAACAGAAAATTATAGTGGAGGTCCTGTGGACAGTTAAAAAATAATTCGGCAGCTACAAAAACTTACACTGGTTGGGTTGACCGACCATCCTGTCTCCTCGGTGCCGGCATCTTCAGTGTGGGCACCTTGTGAATGGAACCATAGTCTTCTGGGACCTGTCACGTGTCACAGAAGACTACGGGGAGGACAACTTTTGCTTCCGATCGCCTAGACGATCACAGTGGAAGTGGGAGCGGGTACCTGTCAAATTCAGGTGACCAGAGTGTTGAGGTGGGTAGGAGGAAGGTGCTGGTTAGAGTAGGTGGAGAGTAAACTTTGTGACCTGGGCAGTAAGGTGGGTAGGAGGAAGGTGCTGGTTAAGGTAGGTGGAGGGTAAACCTTGTGACCGGGGCAGTGAGGTGGGTAGGAGGAAGGAGCTGGTTAGGGAAGGTGGAGGGTAAACCTTGTGACTGGGGCGGTTAGGTGGGTAGGAGGGAGGTGCTGGTTAGGGAAGGTGGAGGGTAAACCTTGTGACCGGGGCGGTGACGTGGGTAGGAGGGAGGTGCTGGTTAGGGAAGGTAGAAGGTAAACCTTGTGACCGGGGCGGTGAGGTGGGTAGGAGGGAGGTGCTGGTTAGGGTAGGTGGAGGGTAAAACCTTGTGACCAAGGCGGTGAGGTGGGTAGGAGGGAGGTGCTGGTTAGAGTAGGTGGAGGGTAAACCTTGTGACCAGGGAGGTGAGGTGGGGAGGAGGAAGGTGCTGGTTAGGGTAAGTGGGAGGGTAAACCTTGTGACCGGGGCGGTGAGGTGGGTAGGAGAAAAGTGCTGGTTAAGGTAGGTGGAGGGTAAACCTTGTGACCGGGGCGGTGAGGTGGGTAGGAGGAAGGTGCTGGTTAAGGTAGGTGGAGGGTAAACCTTGTGACCGGGGCGGTGAGGTGGGTAGGAGGAAGGTGCTGGTTAGGTTAGGTGGAGGGTAAACCTTGTGACCGGGGCGGTGAGGTGGGTAGGAGGAAGGTGCAGGTTAAGGTAGGTGGCGGGTAAACCTTGTGACTGGGGGCGGTGAGGTGGGTAGGAGGAAGGTGCTGGTTAAGGTAGGTGGAGGGTAAAACCTTGTGACCGGGGCGGTGAGGTGGGTAGGAGGAAGGTGCTGGTTAGGGTAGGTGGAGGGTAAACCTTGTGACCGGGGCGGTGAG